CTATTATTATGTTATCCTTCTTTTATTCTTTAAAATAAAAAAAAAAAGTGAGCTTAAAGACCAGCCTGAACTGCATAGTGAGACCCTGTCTGAAAAAGACAAAAAAAAAAAAAAAACAACAAAAAACCAACCCCCCAAAAGAAGAATCATACCCTAAAAAAAAAAAAAAAAGAAGAATCATAGTAGACAGAAGACTGAGTGGGCCGGGAAAGGCAGTGCATAGCTGTAATCCCAGCACTTGGGAGGCTGAGGCCAGAGGCTCTCCGTGATTTTGAGGCCAGCCTGGGCTACACAGCAGGTTCAAGGCCAGCCTGCACTACATAATGAGACTCGGTCTAAACAAAACAAAACAAAACAAAACAAAACACAACCAAACAAAAACCAAAGAAACACGGGATGCCCCTTAAACTCTTGCAATAAAGAAATGATAACCCTTGAGGACCTAAAACGTAGTCCCAACACTGGATACCAACAGAGACAGGCAAAGTGCTTTATGAAGAAAGCTTCGGGGCTGGGGATAGAGTTCAGCGGTAATTTAGAGAAGTGATGGAAGAGAACAGAATGGGCAGAAACTATTCTTTCATCCAGTTTGAAAAGTATGTATTATTTTCTGCCACACTGTATTCTTTAGAAGAAGGTTATGGAGTGTGGCTCACATTCATGAGAAGGAGAATTAGACTTCATCTTTGGAAGGGAGAAACGCTGAAGGGCTTGTAGACGGATTGGAAAACTATTAGAGTGTGCATCAAAGATGATATAAAACTGTGCCACGGTGGCACACGCCTGTAATCACAACACTTGAGAGGCCAGCTAGGCTACATAATGAGTTCCAGTCCAACCTGAACTACATAGAAAGACCCTGTATCAAAAAACTGACTGGCAAGTGCAAGGTCCTGAATTTGATTCCTGGTACCAAAAAGAAAAAAAAAAGACACACAGTCAAAAAAACTAAAACCCAAAGCACAAGATGTTATAAGAAACACACCAGGCTGGGTATGGTGGTGCACATCTGTAATCCTAGTACCTGGGAGGCTAAGGCAGGAGGATTGCTGCAAATTTGAGGCCAGCCTGGGCTACATAGTAAGTTCAAGGCCAGCCTGATCTACATAGTGAGACTCTGTCTCAAAAAAAAAAAGAAAAAAAGAAAAAAAGCCAGATGTGGTGGCACACGCCTGTAATTCCAGTACTCAGGGAGGCTGAGGCAGGAGGATCGTTGTGAGTTTGAGGCCAGCCTGGGCTACAAAGTGAGCTCAAGGCCATCCTGAACTGCATGGCGAGACCCTGTCTCAAAAAGCCAAAAAAGAAAAAAAAAAAAAAAAAAAGAAAGAAAGGAAAAGAAACACACCAGGCTGCAGGTGTAGATGTAGGTCAGTGGTAGAGTGCTTGCCTAGCATATGCAATACCCTGGTCTTGGTCCCTAACAGGAAAGGGAGGGAGGGAGGAAGAAAGTGAAAAACAAAACAAAACAAAACAACCCAGCAAACCAGATCTGTAATATCCATATTTCTCACAGAACTGGTACTCACTATATTTCTCTTGAGCAACCAATTTGTTTTTGTTTCGCCATGTGATGAATCAAACTGTAAATTATTTTCCTCATTTCTCAGCTATCAAGAAGCTCAAAATAAAAATTTTGCTTACCTCCAGCTTTAGTGTATGATCTTACAGTGTGCATTTTTTTTGGTCTTTTTGGAGACAGGGTCTCGCTATGCAGTTCAGGCTGGCCTTGAGCTCACTTTGTAGCCCAGGCTGGTCTCGAACTCACAACGATCCTCCTGCCTCAGCCTCCCCAGCCAAGTGCTGGGATTACAGGCATGCGCCACCACATCTGGCCAGTGTGCATTTTATGCACCAGGACATTACCTTATTTTCCCATCCTTTTCCTTTATTATTTGTGTGTATGTGTGCATGTGTGTATGTACACATGCACATGGTATGACATCTCTGTGTGTGTTGTAGTGTTTTGCACATAATTCATTCTAAATCCTTTTTTTTTTTTGGTACCGGGAATTGAGCTCAGGATCTTGTGCTTGCCAGGCAGGCAGGCGTTTGTGCCACTGAGCTGTATCCCTGTTCCTCTAAATCCTTTTTGAAATGAGGATGTGTATCAATAAATACAGCTGAATATTCATTTCTCTTAAGACCTATGGTTCCATGCATAGTTAGTTTTTCTTCATAATAACAATTTTATTGTTTTGGTTTCATACATAATAAAGCAGTACATAAAATCATGAAGTAAAATGATTCCCAAGTCTCACCACCTAGGAAAAATGTTATTAGCATTTTGATGAATAATCTTCTAAACATCTCTGTATAAACATACTCTCAGGAAATTGTACATAAATGAAATCTTTTTTTCCTGTCAATTTTTGTTTTTGTTTTGTTTTTTTCTGGTTTTTTTTTTTTTTTTTTTGGTACGGGGAATCGAACTCACAACCTTGCGCTTGCCAGGCAGGCACTGTGCCGCTGAGCTAAATCCCCAGCCCTTTCCTGTCAATTTTTAAAAATGCTTACAATGCTTACAATTTTAGTAGCTACCTGGTATTCTATTGTACTGTTAGGGCACACGTGTAGATAGCAGATTTGTCGGCATATTATAACAAAAGTTAGAAATCAATTCAGAGCCTGTGACTATGCTCATGCTCCCTGTCATGTAGCTAGCCTTGACTTCTAGGTCCAGATGTTCCCTCTTAACAATGTGTAAGGTCAAATTGACTGTGTCCAGCTTGTGTTTTAAAAATATGCAGTGATTCCAACTTGCTTCAAGGGCTTCAAGGCCGTTATGTTTGGGGGAAGACTGGCCCAATCAAGGACACTTTTAATTCTACCTTCTCTTCTCAGACCCTATCCCTCTCAAAACGTTCCTCTACAAACCCGCCTGACAAAATGTGACAATTCTTGTATTCCACATAACCAATCATGTAATAACCTGCTATCAGCTTTGTATTTCCCGCTGGCAAACCCTATTTAAACTGAACACCAACGTGACTCTGGGTTGGTGATTTGAACCTCGGGGTTCCCCAACCCACTAGCGTAATAAAAGTTGCCTTCTAACTCCTCAGTGCAAAGTCTTCCAATTGGTTTGATACTGATTTTTCTGCTATAGTACTACAACTTAACTACCGTGCACCTTGTCACTCAATTTCCTGGTCAATTGCACTATGGATAGGTTTATTCTGCATTGTGCAGGTACTTCTTCCTTTAAGACAATGAGATTCGGTGGGCGAGGCCATTAGGTTTACATAGTCTCAGTATAGGTTCATTATTAACTGCCATCCGTGCCTCAAATTCTTCTTTCGTTTTGAAATCTCAAAGGTGGTCTGTTCCTGAAACAAAACAATGGTACTTTGCTGGGGAGATAGCTCAGTGGCATAGTGCCCGCCTGGCAAGCAGAAGGTCCTGAGTTCGATTCCCAGTACAAAAAAAAAAACAAAAAAAAAAACCGGTACTATTCCCGAATTTACAAAATAATTAAAATCAGTGGGTGAGATTGCCCGGATATTGAATTTACTCTCACGCATGTTATTAAATTTTTGGCACCTGCTACCACTGTTTTGTATTCAAGTCCAATAAAAAATGGTGTAGAATTTGCACACATTTTCATAACGAATTATTTAAAACAATGTGTCAGGATTTTATGATGGTCCTGTGACTTCAAGATCTCGTGGGAAATCTTTGTGATTCTGATTCTGTCAGCTGGAAACAGCAAATATTACGGAGGAAAACCCCCTTCCCCGACACGGGAAGAAAAACAACTGACTCAGTAAACTGAGTTTGTTGAAATATTTAAGTAAACAAACGAATGATGGAGAAAGCAGGATACATTTAACAGGAATGAAGCTCCAACCGATTGCGCAGAAGTGAACTAGAGCCGGGGCGGCTCAGCCAAAGTGAAGGGGAGGCGACGCCCACCCGCAGGCGCTCAGGACAATTCGTGGCGAGAACGCTGGAGGAAGGACTGGACTCTGGCAAGGGTCCCATCCCAAAACCTCATATTCTGAGAGCCATGACATCCACCTTGAGCATCACGAATGTTCCTTTTATTCCTAAATCATTCGCGCTCCATTCCGAAGAACAGCAACAAAACCAGCAACACAACAAAGTGTCCCTGATTCCGCTCCTTCTCAAACACTGCACTATATTTAAACTTTTCCTGTAGGATAATAACTAGTACCTTCCGGTACCGACCCATCGCCCCAGAAACTACAAGTCCCACTGGGCTGCACATGCAGTTCTCCGGGTTCTCACCCCTCCCTGCGTCTCACAACACCGTATTACGCTCCAATCCGGATCCGAACCTCTAAACCGGGGCCGCGCGGCCTGCTGGGATTTGTAGTCCTCTCCCGAGGCCCTTCAGTGATCCGCGCAGACTCGCGCGGCCTCTGCCTGCCCTTCGGCCCTCGCAGAATCCCAGCCTGGGATTCACCGTTCCCCACCCCCATCGGGGGCCTGCCCTTGGGGGCCAACCTCCTCCGGTCACGTGGGAGACTTGCGCGCGGCGATTGGCAGTGGGGATTTGGGGGCGGGGCGCAGGGCCCTGTGAGGTTCCTTGCCTGTTGTCGGGCCGCTTGTTTAGCTGCTGCCGTCACCTCATGGCGACACGGGTAGAGGAGGCAGCGCGGGTTAGAGGCGGCGGCGCTGAGGAGGCTGTGGAGGCCGGACGGAGCGGACGGCGACGCAGCCTACGGCAAAAGGTCAGTCAGGGGGACGTTTTCGTTGGTGCTGTGCCGGGGAGATGCTCGGGCTACCCTTTTCGGGGTCCACCTCTTCACACTCCCCGGGTACCTTTAAGCACGGGACGAACATCCGGCCTTTCTCCCTCCCGTGGGTGACGACGGTGGGAGCAGGTGGGGGGGTGGGACCAGGATGGATGGGGTGCGAAGGGACGTTGGCTGGGGTTTGAGGGCGCGCAACGCGGGGGATGAGGAAGGGCAAGGTGCACGCGGGTCTCGGGGGTGCGGGCTGGCAGCGGGGGCGCGCCAGGTGTGACAGCCACGTGAGGGGCCGCGGGCGCCAGGTGTCCCCGCTCCCATCCCCCTGCGATCGCGGCGCGTCGGTCCCAGC